TAATCTTATCTGACTTATGTGAAATCTTGGCATCTCCGCATTCTAGCTTCTTGAGATTCGTTCTGCATTTATTGTCCGGCGCTCACATAGATTCTTTTGATTACAAGTATGTGAACACTGAACAATTCTTTTCTGCAGTGATAAATGCAGAATGATGGTAAGCTGACATTCTTCTATGGTGTTATTCTTTACTATTGTTTAGTTGTTGCCTGTTGGTAACTTTTATTCTTTTTAGCCTTCAAACTGTGCAAGTTTTTTATTGCACCAAGACCAACTGCACAAATGCTATGCGCTCCAAATTTCAGTAGTTTGCAGTGTAATCTGTATGTGTGTCAAATATAATTTGTCGCTAGTATTTGGTAAAACTTATTCATTTTATGTAGCGATTGTTTTGGTTAAGTACTTCCTCCATCCCAATTTGAATTGTTTGTTTCGGTTTACGATGTTTGATTGAAATTATTCCAACCATATACACATCAACTACAAATCTTCCCTTCCTTTCGCTCCACCCCTCCCCTTCCTTTCATTTTAACAAACCAAACAAGGTATCATTCCCTCCCATCCCCCTCCAACCAAACAGGCCCTAAAAGAAATGGAGAATGGAAATCATCTTCAATCCTCTTTTGAAGATATTTGTTCCTGCAACTTTGGCTTCTTTGCTATTGGAATAGTCTTGTATATTTATCCATTTTCCTTTTCATCCTTGTCTTTGTTGAAGTATACTTTTTAGATTGCAAAAACAGGTATGTGTTCCTGTTGATGATTGTTTCCATTATAAGATTTGTCACTTCCTGTAGATGGAGTTCTATCATTGGAATCATGCTTGTGCCATTTGGATACCAGGTTACCCACCATATATTTTCTCTTTACCAAGAATAAGGATCTCCATATGTTGTTTATTGACCTCGGGAAGGGGTACAACCGGATGCAGAGAGAGATCCGTTACAAAAGCGAGAATGAAATATCCAACTATCCTTGTTCAAAAAGCTCACAATCCAAATAGCTCAAAAAGACCATACATTGTCTGGGGTACCAACATCAACAGTCCTCCCCTTTTAAATCTACCAATGTAGGACCGATAAAAATCAAATGAGTTGGAAGATCTGAAAAGAAAGAAACATATTTATGTCAATGATTGTGAGGTTATTTTTCACGGCCAAATTTTTTTTCTTAAGTATGGCCTTTTTGGACCTATTTGAAACTATTGAAGGTGCTTTTGTCGATTTTGGATACTGTGTTGGAGGTGTCTTAAGTTGAGAGAGGCTATGTATGGCAGGACACAGACTGGGGTAAAGATTGCCAGGGGTGACTTTGAGTCTTTTTCCATAGAGGTAGGTTACACCAAGGAACTGCCTTTAGCCCCTTCTAGTTTGCTTTGGTGATAGACGTCTTATCGCAGGGTGTTCAAGGGACCTTGGAACATGCTTTTTGCTGATCGATGAGACTCACGAGAGACTTAATGACAAGTTAGAGCTCTGATGCCATTCCCAAGAATCCAAAGGTCTTAGACTAAAATGAATACATGGAATGTTAGTTCGATGCCCGATTGATGGAAGCTCTTGTTGTATGGAGGAAAGTGTTCAAGGTTAGGGATGAGTCATTGGAGATGGTTTTTCACCACAATGGGTGAAACTGGCGCAAAATAAATTGAGCATGCCCGAACATCAATTCTTGATGTGGTTTATGGGGCGTGAGAGACTCCCAACTAAAGGAGGCTGGCCAGGCAGGCTCATGCATGTAGATCAAGGTGTTGTTTTATGTGAACAATATATAGACTAAACAGAAATTGATCTGCCTTGTTTTTTTGACACATTAACCGACTTGAAAATATTAAATTTTGAACAAAGATTTTGTTCACCGAATCTAAAATCACCCTCTAAGATTTGATCAAACTCAAACCCGACTTGAAAGTACTGAGTTTTAAACAAAATTTTTGTTAATCGAACCCTAGCGTGACCTAAACAATCCACTAAGGTAATATTTTTTTTCCAAAATCGTGTACTCTTAGTATATAAACTTGTCTTTCAAAAGAGTTTTTACTATATCGTATTGTTTCACTTTTTAAAAAGAATGCTACTCCAGTTCATACTTGATATATATGTTTTGATATATCGGTGGGGTTCTAGTGACACCGGAGTACGGTGCTACTCCGGTGTCACTAGAACCCCACCGTTGATATATTATTATTTTTTATGCAAGTGATATGTATGATCGATTGTTTTACCAGCTCTAGCCTCTAGGAGTATTTAGAGGACACACAATACTCGTTTTGGAGTTGTGTGTATGCTACTCTTCCACTGCCTATTTTCAACACGTTGCACCTTAGCAAGGAGGTAAAGGGTTATAGAGGCATGAGTCGTAAGGTACGGGTTTTTACTCATCTTGATCCCAATCTTGGTTTGTAGAAATAAGTCAGAATGGTTAAGGACACGAAATTGTCCTACATTGTCCTAGTCATTTCGAGATTGGGGTAAATTTAAAATGGTTCAGGATATCCTAATTTTGTGTGGTATTGTCAAGTCAATAGGGTAATAGTCAAAACATTACCTTTGCTTTGATTCCAATGCCATATAAAAGAAAAAAAATGCAAAACAACTTGTGCTTTTTTTTTGTGGCTTCATGCATTTGGATATGCATTTGGATATTGAAGTCTGTTATATTTTTTGGGGACTCAACTGTAGTCTGTAGACTTATTTATATTATATTCATTTCAGTATACTTGGGAAAAAAATTGAATGAATATAATGTTTGATTCAAATTAAATAAATCTTGGGAAAAGAACTGAAATAGGACTAAAACATAGTCCCTATTTGCCATCAGCATTAGCATTCTAAAAATGTTATTTAACGTAAATCTTTACCGTTAGCATTTCTATAATTAATCTACAACATTAAATTTTTATCCAAATGTTAACGCTAGTTAAAAATGATTTTAGCAAATAAGGCAATAGTAAGTAGAAAGAAGATATGATCAATCATCATCCGTAGAGTTATTCGTATAATAGTCATCATCCAACACTTAATGTTAACTCGAGAATATCTGGTAGATCATATATAATTATGTGCGGAATAAAACATACATGTTTCTATTTAGGAAAACATACAATCTTTTATCATCTTTTAGTCATATGTGGAGTAAATTTTCCTAGAAAGAAATGCCCCCAAAAGAAAAAAACACCCCCCACATGTCCACATGTATGCATCATGCTAGTCATGTCTGTCTGGCGTGGGCTGGGCCCAATTCAATGCCTTCTAAATTTCTGATTATTCGTTGGATTTTTGTGTGCGAATGGGGCTGTAGTTGAGTAGTTCCCTCACAAGATCCAAGTGAGGCTGCTGGGTCACGGGTGTCCATTACCCATGCTTTAATTTGCTAGCTTTATCATCTTGTCTCTCCACATATTATTCATTCTCTTTTTTTTTTTGCTAATATCAAAGTCAAATACTTTATGGTTAAGCGGTATAATTGTACTTATGTCAAATGAGAGCGACCATCTAATTATGTTCCAATTTTGATGTATTTTTGGTCAAACAGTCATACGCTTTAACCATAAATTAAATATAATCTAAATAAAGAAATGCTAAAAAAATTTGAGATATCAAAACTAGATTCTAAGATTAATCCAATCATATTAAATTTATTTTATAATTCAATATACCTTTTTCACAATTTGTAGTCAAAGCGTGTAAATATTTGACTAAATACTATTCAAAATGGGAACTTTTTTGTGGGACTGGGGGAGTATTATTATTTATATTTCTTTTACTGTTATGAATATTATTATAATAATATTAATTTAAATTTAAATTAAATTTATATCAGATCAATCATATCAAACTAGATTAGATCAGAATTTTAAATAATCTAATTATATGAGGTAAACGGAACGCAGAGACAAAAGGTATACTACCTCCGTCTCTCTCTCTCTATTTGTCCACTTTCATTTTTGCACATCATCCAATGCACTTCTTTAATTCATTTTATCTTGTAATTTGTATATTAAAAAATTATAAAAATTATATATTAATAATCTATATGTTAAGACAAATCAAACAAGATCACACATAACTATATTTAAGCTTACACATTGAGAGAATTTGATGAGTCAAAGTGCTTAGATGAACAGTTCCAAAAGTGACAAATAGAAGGGACGGAGGGAGTACGGAGTAATAGAGAATAGGGGTAATGATTAATTAAACCGGTCATCCAACGGCAGTCTCGTCCCACTTTCCCCTCACCTTTCTCTCCCCTCTCACTCTTTCTTCCTTTTTCCTCCCCTCTCGTGACTAAAGTTTCTTTTTTTTTTGAACTTCATTCCCTTCTTCCCCGCCCCGCCCTCCCTCCCTCACTCTCTCTCTGTACAATCATTTCCTCCATAACTCTTCCCTCCGACATTCTCTGCGCCACAACAAATTATTCAGTCATACTGAAAACGTAGCAGCATTTATATATAACTATGGGTTTTCCGTTTCATTCCCCGCTCCTCCCTATCCTTTTCGCATTGCTGAGCGCCACCTCGGCCTCCCTCGCCGCCGTGGACGAGCCGCTGCAGCTGAACGACGACGTTTTAGGCCTCGTCGTCTTCAAATCCGGCGTCCATGACCGGTCGTCGCGCCTCGCCGGGTGGACCGAAGACGACGCGTCTCCCTGTGCGTGGAGCTTCGTCGGATGCAGCCCGGGGAACGGGCGGGTCGACCGGATCTTCCTCGGCGGTTTGGGACTGTCCGGGAAGATCGGGCGGGGGTTGGAGAAGCTGCAGTTTCTCGAAGTTCTGTCGCTGTCCGGGAACAACTTCAGCGGCGGGATTCCTCCGGGGTTGGGGCTGTTGCCGCGTCTCAGAATACTTAATCTCAGCAGGAACAGTATCTCCGGGACGATTCCGTCGTCCCTGAGTAATTTGATCTCGATCCGTTTTGTCGATCTCTCCCGGAATCTACTGACCGGAACTCTCTCCGATGAGCTGTTAGAAAATTGGAGTTCAATCCGGTATTTGTCGCTGGCGGAGAACGACCTAGAAGGTCCGGCGCCGAGCGCCCTGTCAAAATGCACTCTTCTGAACCACCTCAATCTGTCTAGCAACCGTTTCTCCGGCGACCTGAGGTTTTCCGGCGGGATAAGGGGGTTGGGGAGGCTAAGATTCTTGGATGTTTCAAACAACGAGTTTTCCGGATCGCTGCCCTCCGACCTTCCATTTCTTCACAATCTGAAAGAGCTCTCTGTACAGGGGAACAGATTTTCCGGCGACTTCCCGATTCAATTGGGGCTTAATCCCCATCTTCTCCGGCTAGATTTGAGCAGGAACTTCTTCACCGGTAAACTCTCAGATGCCGCATCTCTTCAGAGGCTTAAATCCCTCACGTTTCTGAACCTGTCCCATAACCGCCTCTACGGGGCATTTCCTCCATGGATTGGAAACATGTCTAGCCTGGAATTTCTTGATCTCTCCGGCAATGCATTGGACGGGCCGATTCCTGATTCACTCGGAGGGTTGAAATCGTTGCGACATTTGACGTTGAACGATAACAGGTTAGAAGGTGAGATTCCAAAGTCCTTGGCTTCTTGCACGGCGTTGGCCGTGCTTCGGCTGAGGGGAAACTTGCTGAGTGGTACAATACCGGAGGAACTTTTCGGGATTGGGATAGAAGTGGTCGATTTCTCGCGAAACGTTCTGAGCGGTCCGGTTCCATCAGGTTCGGGCAAGATTTTTGAGACTCTACGAGTGATGGATCTCTCTATGAACAATCTCACTGGAAACATCCCCAAAGAAATGGGGCTATTCTCCAGGCTCGGATATCTGAATCTCTCGTGGAATCAATTCCACTCGGGGTTTATCCCAGAAGTGGGGTACTCCCCGAGGCTAGTCTCGTTGGATCTTCGAAATTGCGCTTTGATGGGGTCGATCCCGAGGAGTGTTTGCGGTTCAGGCAGCCTCAGAATTCTCCAGCTTGACGGGAATTCGTTGAGCGGCAGCATTCCCGATGAATTTGGGAATTGCTCCTCTCTCTTCTTGCTGTGAGTTTTACTGCTAGTTTTGCTTTCAACATTTCACATTTGCTAATATATAAGAATATAAGTTACTCCTCTCATTGCCAGATATAATGTCTTGTTTGAGACAAATATAGACACCTAAGAATATGGCTTCCCACAAAAATTATTTTCCCCAAGTTCACCAAACACTTTGAAGATTTTATAGTAGAGAATTCAGTCTTTGAAAATGAAATTCATCTCTCCCAAACCCTGAATTAATGTCATTGTTTACTTCAAAATGCAGGAGCTTGTCACACAACAATTTGAGTGGCTCCATACCAAAGTCCTTTTCAATGCTGTCAAGGCTCAAGATTCTGAAACTGGAGTTTAACCAACTGAGTGGGGAAATACCCCCACAGCTCTCCCACCTGGAAAACCTTCTGGCAGTGAATGTGTCCCACAACAGGCTCGTCGGCCGGATTCCGCCCGGGCGCGTGTTCCAGAATTTAGACCAGAGTGCAATAGAGGGGAATCTTGGGATCTGTTCACCCTTGTTGAGAGGGCCATGTAGAATGAATGCAGCAAAGCCTATAGTGATTGATCCCTTCGGTTACAGAAACCACACAGATGATGGTGATGGTGATGGTGATGTTGGGCCATTGAGATCATCAAGACACAATACATTCCTCAGTGTTTCAGCCATTGTTGCCATCTCCGCTGCCGGAATCATTGTGCTCGGGGTTATGGTTATCACCATTCTGAATGCCTCGGTCAAGAGAAGGCTTTCTTTGGCTGAGAACGGCGGATTGGAAAGAACGTGCTCGGGCTCTTCGAGGTCCCGCCGCAGTGTGGACGCCGGAAGGCTGATACTACTCGACGCAAAACCGTCTCGGGATTGGTTGAACGCTAGCACCTTCGAGTCCGTCCTTAACAAAGCGTTGGAAGTCGGGGAAGGCGTTTTCGGAATGGTTTACAAGGCTCCTGTGGGAGGCGATTGCGGGGGCACGGCCGTGGCGATAAAAAAGCTTGTAGCATCAAAGGTGTTGCAGCATCCAGAGGACTTCGACCGAGAGGTTCGGGCGTTGGGGAAAGCAAGGCACCCAAATTTGGTCCCGTTACGAGGGTACTATTGGACCCCACACCTGCAGCTATTGGTTTCGGATTTCGTGCCCGGAGGGAATCTGGAATCCATGCTCCACGAAACGGGGGCCCCGCCCCTGACGTGGCCAGCCCGGTTCGAGATCATACTGGGAACAGCCAAGGGGCTAGCCCACCTGCACCATTCGTGCCAGCCCCCGATCGTCCACTACAACGTGAACCCCAGCAACGTTCTACTCGACGAGAACCTCGACCCGAGAATCTCGGACTTCGGCCTCGCGGGGCTCGTGAACGTGCACGTGATGAGCGACCGGCTCCAAGCAGCATCGGGGGCCGGGTACGTGGCACCGGAACTCGCCTCCCAAAGCACGAGGGTGAACGAGAAGTGCGACGTGTACGGGTTCGGGATGCTGGCACTCGAGCTAGTGACCGGCCGGCGGCCCGTTGAACACGGGGAGGGGGACGCGGTGCTCATTATGAACGATCACGTGAGGGCGTTGCTCGAGCAAGGGAACGTGTTGGACTGCGTCGACCCGGTGATGGGAGCCTACCCGGACGACGAGGTCTTGCCTGTTTTGAAGCTGGCATTGGTGTGTACTTCTCAGGTACCTTCAAGCAGACCTTCCATGGCTCAAGTGGTCCAGATCTTGCAGGTCATTATGACCCAACTTCCCTCCCGCACATAATTGAAACAATTCATATGCCCCGGAGTACATACTCGCTTTTTGTTTTCTTTTCTGTTTGGTAATTAATTATACTCTCTGTATTCCAAAATGATTGTTCATATTGCTTTAACTTCAATAACACGATTTTACTCTGTAATTTTCATGCATAATCAATCCCTCTATCACAGAAATGCCAGTATTATGCATAATACTATGTGAATCATGTAACAATAAAATCTAAACGAAAGTTAATATGAAGTTTCAGTTGTGACGTGTATATTTGAATTGTAGTACAATATCTTTTATCTTTTGATTTAACTTTCACAACTTCGTATCTTCTACAATGATATTCTTGAAGAGTATAATACGATGTTCTATGTGAGCTTGAGATTATTTTGTTTTTCAAATAGCTTTATTCTAGTGTTATATCGTGTGATATAAGAGTTACTCCTTCCATCCTAAAACATTCTTCTCGTTTTTGTTTATGAGGTTTGACCAACTTTAATTCCTATTCAATTTATTTGGTTCTAGGTGTAACTAGTACATCACCCGTGCGATGCACGAAAAGAAAAAGCTTATCATAATTGTGAAAATACATGAAAATTTCGTAATTGGATATTATTTAATAAATAGTAGATATGTTCATCTTTCGCTTATATATATTTTATTATTCATTCATTTTAAATAGACCTACTAACATAAAGAGTGAGTTTTAAATTATAACATATTCAATACATAATATTTAAATGAAGTAAAGTAAACTGTGTCTCTTGACATCAATCATATAGATTCTCAATAACCTCCTTATAAACTACATTCATTGTAGTATTAGACAGGGTATTTTCAAAATTATATATCATTATTTTTAATCTCTCGCGAGACCATACCCTAGACATGGCTACATAGAGTTGTCCGTGACTGAAAACATGTTTTTTTCAAAAATAGACCAACATGTGAGAGAGATTGTTCATGACTCTTGTCCTATATTATGATCTCTGATAAAGTCAATGAAACTCGTGGTATCAATATCGTTTGTCCTGTTGTTTTCCCATGAATCATATTTGCTTCAAAGAGACGATTACCGAGTCTTGTAACAATTAGACGTGTTCCATTGCACAGATCTTTAAAATGATCAATGTTACGCACAAGCATTATCGGAGTCCTAATTTTAAGTGTTAGTTTGTGGTTCAGAATTCTTGAAGAGCTAATCAAGTTCAAATACTCTGTGGTGTGTAAATCACCAACTAAAGAGGCATTCATATATGACTGGCAAGCACTATCGGCACTCAAGTAGACTTTCTCATCCCTTCATTCATGATAATCATGTATTGATTTATTGATTCAATGACTTAAGTGTTGGCGCTAGAATTACTCTTTCTTGTAATATATATCTTCACCAAAATTTGTTGCAAATCCAGGGTAAATAGTTTCCACAATTTTTCCAATATGATTATTTCCGGACTCAACCAATAGATTTGATGGAATTTCCATGTCTGCACAACCATCATTTGGCTCAACCATCTAAACAAAGAAATATATATTTACGAATATATAGAATATGTTAAGAAAATAAAATCAGTAAATTTTATAAGTTTTGAGAATTTTGAAAATATGTTTAAAAGACTAAAGTAAGGGTAAAACATTGAAAACATACTAAAATAGAACGTCAATATTTTTATTTTCGAAAAAGAAGTTAAAATGCATTTACATTACCAAACATGGAGAAGTACATTACAAAAAAGTATAGTAATTTGTACATGTACAATGCCACATTACAACCACATTATCACTGTGCGAAGTCTTATTTCGATAATAAAAACATGAAACTCCTATTTTGGTACTTGTATCTATATTTTAGTCATATTTAAGGTGATTTCTATTCAATATAATACTTTCTCCGTCTCTAAGTATTTGTCTACTTTTGACTTTTTCGGTCAAAATTGGTAAACTTTGACTTCAAATTAAACTATCATGATATTAGATATTGATACAAAAAGAGTTTTATTAGAATTATTATATCAAATGTTTTCAAAATATTATTCTATTTAATTAAAATACAATATATACTTTATTTAATTATAAGTCAAAGTTTGAAAATAATTAGCCGAATAAAATCAAAACTCGACAAATAATGAAGAACGGAGGTTGTATGAAATATCGTCCAATTCTACTCAATTTTTTTTAAACTGCTAAGCCCATTTATGATGTATTTAGGCCCAGTCTAAGGGGCTGTTTGTTTCAGCCTCTTAATGGTTCAGATGTCTGAATGGTTCAGCACTTAATGGTTCAGACTGTTTGTTTCAGCCTCTTAATGGTTCAGATGTCTGAATGGTTAAGAGATTTGCTTCTGAATGATTAAGTATTACACAGAGTCTGAATGGTTAAGACTTCTTACCTGAATTGATCAGACATTTGCCTCTGAATAGTTAAGCAATATACTAACTCTTAATGATTCAGACCTCTTACTGGTTCAGCACTTAAATGGTTCAGACCTCTTACTGGTTCAACACTTACCTATTCAGAAGTTGCCAAACAGCCCCTAAATGTTCTAACATATTATACTACACCTTACCTTGCTTCTATCGTCATTACGCCGCTTTATTTGTGACCATATGTTCCGTATCCTTCTCTCATGTATTTTTCATCGCCACAAACCTAATCCTTTTACCGCCTAAGAATTCGATGGTGTTGAAATGCTATGTACATAAATCCAACTTCTTCGGCCGTTGTTCTTCTATCAATTTGATGGTTGTTCTTATATGAATTGTTTGATACAAGGTATTGTCTTTTTTATTTCAAATTTTTATATATTTATGTCAATATGGAAGGATTTTTCAATTTTTTAAACTTCAGATGTAAATCTGAACATTCCACTTCGTAGAGAGGGGCTTTTCGAAGAAATATTTTCTGTTTTTTTGATATCATTGTTGGTAGTAAATGTGATTATTCAACATCAGATCTTGGGTTCTATTTCCCCCCTATTTCATGATTTTTTTAACACAACAAATTTTTATCTCTGAGAATTTTAGCACCTGATTTTTATTTAATTTCTCTATATTCTGCTACTTCAAAATTTATCCATTCTTTTTATATTTGAAAAATATTATTCTGGAATTTAAGAAACCCTTCCTAATGAAATCACACCCATACTTGCAAACTGCTCTTACATTCAATTTTCATAATTTTATTAAATGTTATAAGTAACCAAATATTACTTCTATACATGACAACCTGGGATCTAAACTGGTTCTTTCCAAAAAAATGTTTTTAGCAATTGGATTTCATCATTATATGTTTAGTTTGATATGAATGGTTCAAAGTTAGATATGTACCCTAAACAATATACTTTTATTTGTTCCAGGAGCTATTTTAATGAAATAAATACTAAGCTAACAGTAAGTTATTTAATATACACTGAATATATCTTGATTATAAATATAATCTGTTCACCCGCACGGGTAGCCCAAGTGGCAAACACTTGGTGAAGTTTGGAGAATGACCAAGGATCGAAACCTGGCAGCGACCGTTGTGGGGGGAGTCTCTGGTGCGCACTAGGATATGGTCTAGCTAAGTGTTGTGCTTGGGTCACCGTGATTTACCTCCTCTCACATTCCCATCGGGTCAGGGGTGAGGGGCGCCCGGGGTGAGCGATTTCACCTTTGGAGAATAAATATAATCTGTTCCAAACCAAAACATATTCTATTCAAAGCACTGACTTTTTTTATTTTTATTTCAGGTTTAATCCCTTTTTAAGAAATAGCTTTTGATGCAAGTAAGTATAAATATAAATTAGTATGTCTAATTTGAAAAGAATATCAAAACTAAATAAGGCTTGTTATTTGATAGAACTGTCGGATTACTTATTCGATATAACTTCCCTTCTTTGAGCGTTGATCCAAACACTGGTATTTCCTCCTTTTGATAGACTTCAAGGATGTGGTTCCCCTGATTTTTTTTCAAATAATTAATATCTTTTTGAAAAGTGGATAGCCACAAAAGTCTTGAAGAAAAGTACCTCATTATCGTGAAAAATACCCTCCCGCGCATAAACTTCTCCGGGGATTTTTGAAAAGTATAAGGCTGATTGTTACTAAATGAGTGTAGTGAAGGAATTTAGGGGAAGGGTGTGTAGTGTTATAGAGTGGAGTGGTATTTATACCCACAATGGAATGTGTTGGGTTCTTAGAACTGACTTTTTTTGTCTACGTACTATGACTTGAATGGTATAATATATGCTGAGTTGCCTTCCTAGAACTGACTTTGTTGGTCTTTACCGGTATTTGTTGTGTAGTACAGGGACCATGTTTATTGTATGTCTTGTAATTATGTGATTTATCATGTTTCTGCAGCCATGGTATATTACATCAATGAAGCTGGAATAGTTTTAATAAATAGAGGCTGTGATTTAATCTGAGCTTCTTTATAGTTGCTTTGAAATGTGATTTTAAATGTTTTTTCTCCTTTTCACCTTGAATTGAGATCTGAAAATTCTGATGTAAAAATTTTGAAGATTCACTGAACATGGATTGATGTTGTGCCATGAACACTGTGGAGAGGGCTTTCAAAGGTGTAGTACTTGGCTGGATTTATTGATGCAATGAATGTTGAGGCAGTGGAGATGGCTTTCATTCGTGTAGTACTTGGCTGGATGTATTATATTGAGATGACATGTAGTGTCATATGATTTGTCCAGTAGTGATTGTAAATGTTTACATAATAAGATGTAATGTATAGCTGCCATGTGTACCAAAGTGTTTATAGCCATTGGATTACAATTTCTGGTGGGAAAATTGGGCATTGCAATTGGAATGGATTTCCATTCAGCTTTTATATATATAGTAGAAATTAAAAAATAAAATTTATATACTTAAAAATAAATCAAAAGTTTTACAAACTCGGTCACAAAACTATTATTTTATCAAATAACTAAAGGAAATAAGTAATGAAAAAACAAATAAATTTGACCGTATGAATAGTAACTGGGAAAACATTATAGAACGAGAGAGTACAAAAGACCATTTCTTGCCTTTAACCATGAAAACAAGGATAATTTTATCAAATTAATTTCTTTTTTGTTACATATTTCACATTTTCACACAATACGCATGTGTTCTCCATGCTTCCCATTTTCCTTAAATGAAAGGCTATTTTTGTAATTTTTACAGCTATAGAGACTATTTGTGGAAAACCACAAGAACTATTTATGCATATAACTCTTATTTTTATATGGGAATTCAGAGAATAGTTTCCTTCAACAATAAAATATTATCGCTGACACAATCGCCATAAATGAGTGCTTCTGAAGCTAAAAGATTCTAGATTCCAGATTTCTCAGCAGCAAGAACAATGAAGGATTACCAGCTTCTGAAAACAACCAATTTGCATACAAATGCCAACAAGAGATTTAACAACAAAAATCTTTACCCAAAAAAAAATATGTCATGCGGCTTTTACAAAGTACAGATATTTGTCTCAGGTACATAACATTGTTTCCAAAACTCAGATGAGAAACCGAAATGAGCAGGCTCGACAAGTCGCGGAATGGCTTTCGTCGAGTACTTTGGTTTAATCATCACGCAGAGCCTTCATCAAATAGAGTCTGTTAAAGCTCTGGCCCACAACTCTGCAACACATAATAACATTCACCTTTATTCACTCCATCAAGTAGAATGTACTCAACCTGCTCATCTTCCAGTTTGGGACCCGAATATCTCATATTGACCGAAACAGGATCCACCAAATCCGTGTATCCGGTTGGTGATTTTAGATTTTTAGGTGAGCAGATTCATAACGGAAAATTGTGACAGTGTTTAAACAGTTAAAATTGTTGTCACACACTAGTATAACATTTTGGTAATCTATAATCAATATACTCCGTATCACCAATGGAGTAATATTTATATTTCATAATACTCACAACTTCATTTGGGCATTGTTTTGGACTAAGGCATTAAATACGGTGGAAATGTGCTTCATTTGTTTAAATAGGACTCTTTTTAGGGTAAAAAACCCATGTTTTGAAGCAAGACTCTTTTTTTAAGGCGGGGGAGTAATAAGTTAGACATTGATTATTCAGCTTTTCCTAATCTAAGAATTCAATGTCCCTGCATTTTACTTCTTTCATATTGTATCCTGGTATAATGTATTATGAGTATGTGAGTAGTTCAAATGCAGGGACTTATGCATAATTTCACATACGTTATCCGGTGGGCTTCTTTAGGCAACAAGTTTCGTTGGCATATTATGACAACATAGCATTCAGGACAAATACGGTGCTCCATTGGGCCAATAGTAGCCCCTCCCCCCCTTGCCCCTCCCTAAAATGCTGATTGGCAGAGTTTTGGGATGAGGTTGGGGGGGAGGAACCACTTATGGACCCAATGGAGCACCAAAAGTGCTTATTGTCATAATTTGACAGAAAAAGATAAAAATTAGTTCTCAGAAACGAACCATACCCATTAATTTGATTGCAGTAGTTTGAAATCTGATTCGTGATTAGAAAGCTATCTAATCGAGATGGCTCGGGAATTGGCTTAAACAATGGATTAGCAGGATCCTCTTCAGGTAGTGGCTCTTCTCCTGCAGCTTTACGTGCCATGTTCTCAGCCCTGCAAACCAAAATTTAATACTTCATGATATTTACTTATGAACAAAAATAGTTATTAAAGTGTTCTATTGGAAACCGTGAAAAGTCAAACGATCACATCCTTTTGAGGTGGAGACTACAGTTATCAACAAAAACTAGAACTTCCTACACACACTCCCTTCATACTTTGGAGTGTAAACAAAAACAAAATACCTTCTCTTTTGAAGCCAAGCTTGTTGCTGCGATTGTTGACGCGAAAGGTTGCGGTAGTAATATTGGAACTGCAAATGTAAAACCAATCTTGTCAGATGTGACTGAGCAATATAGTATCCTCAATAATGAGTCACTAACCTCCTGCTGCTGCTTTGATAGGTCATCCATACATTCGGCCAAAAATTCCACATTTCGCTCCAAATAAGGACTACTTGATAACTTTAGCCGATCAAAATCACACTAGAAGAAGAAATAAAGTTCCATGTAACTATTCTCCAAGATAGGTATCAACCCACTGAAAATCAGCAAGGCAAATATTTGGATTACCTGGGTTACCGGCGTATCCGGTTCCAATTCAGTCATGAAGGCACTGACAAGGGCAGAATTGGAAACTTTTATCTGTTGAATTGTAAATAAATCTCAGAGCTCAAATATGAAAATGTCATGACATGTAGCCACCGATAACAATCTATAATTTTAAGACAATCTAAATTGTTTGCTTTAAACAAAAAATATATATATCACATACAATGGTTACAAACAAATGCATATCTTATATTACCAGACCACAAACTAATGTGAATGATCTAGCTAATCCATTTGGAAGAAAACAAGCCATTAAATCCAAAAAGTAGAGATATGTAATTCATAAATTTAAGACATCCACAAAGAGCATTTCAGGATGAGGTTGTTTCTCAGCATAGTATGATGCATTCAATAAGATAGAGCAAAAAAACAACTTGAGATGCAGTGGAAAATGAACATACAGGTATCTCCTCAAAGATATCCACCCATGAAAGATTTGTCTCCCTCAGCCTTAAAATGTAAACAATAATTTAGAGTAAATGTTATGATTGAATAAAATATTGACAAAGGGCTGGACTAAAATTTAAAAAAAAAAAAGAGTGGAAGAATATAACAAAAGTTAGAATGTGCATACTTCTCTCCAGTAAAATTATTATTCCGGTACAGGTCCATGAATGAATCAGATAGCTTCAAGGCCTTCAGAGCCAAAATACCTTGGTTGGATCTCGAAGGATCATATATAATGCACACACACCGTCTTATATTTTCCTGCAATTACAGCTAAAAATGTCAATAATCATTACTGGAGACCTTATTAATTAAAGCTTAGAATGAAATATATGAATCTGTGATGTATGTCTATCAGTCAAGTAATACGTAGTATTATTATTAAAGGAGCAAAAGAAACATTAACCATTAAAAAAATTCAGAGAGTCAGAACCTGGTAATTCATGAATGTCTCAATCAGTTCAACCGTCTGATATGAGCCAAATAAAGTTGATTGGTACCTAGAAGAAATAGGATTAGATGAACTTTGCATACTTCATAAATCACTTGAAATTGAAGTATATGCATTTAACTAGTGAAGCGTATTATCCCATCACATAATACCACTAAACTTTATAGGTCAAAACTAAGCCACAAGGAAAAACATCATTACCATCCAACAGTGTTGTTGTCAACATTAACCTCTCTTAGGCATCTCATCATTTCAAGTTGATAATTAGCACCCTCAGCCTCTATCTCCTCATCTTCCTCCCGAATCTAGCATTCATTTAAATTTCAAATAAAAGGGATCAACGAATTTATTAAACAGCAGACCTTATGGAAACTATGCATGAAACATACCGGGAAGGGAAAACAGTTGGTAACTTCTAAGACACTTCCAACATCCAATCCAAGAAGTTGTCCAGTGACTAAAGCTGGTGAAAACTCCTTACAATGCTTAATTATCTTCAAAATTACCTGTTCTCAGCAAAAATCAAGCTCTGAATGTTATAGGCTGAATAGCATCAGATTCAGATAGAACATGCTAGCATAACATAAGAGAACTAATGATGTCAATGCTAACAAAATTAGAGTCTTCACCTAATCTTTTGTGTTGTATTCATAGATCAATCTAAATTGCTGCCATTTATTTTCATTCAAAGGTTACTTTATATGCTAGAATCTATACATAATGCTCTATTTATATGAATATGGATTCACACATTTGAGTGTTGAGGTGTGTGTGTGTAGTGTATATAGGATTGACTCCAGTCAGATAACACCTTACGGTGAGATGACATGCTAAGGTCAGATGATGCAAAGTTCACCACTAGCCACTGCAAAACTCACCAAGGACAACTACAAAGCTCACCAAACTGTAAGGCAAAGCTCACCAAATTTTTTCAACACTTTGATTTTTTAAAAAAAAATAAAATCAAAGGAAGGGGTGCTGACTAGATTTTGACCGTTGACGGCCACTTTTGACCGCCACCTGCTGCTTTCCGCCGTGCCGCCACCGCCGGCCACCGTTTCTATTTCGCCTGCCGATCACCGGATGCCACTGCGGACCGGTTGTTGACCGGTGTTTCAATTTTATTTTTAATTAATTTTTTAATTTTCAAAATAAAAAAAAAGGTGAGTTTTGGTATTCAAAGTGATGAGCTTTGTTTTATTTCCAGGTGAGCTTTCAGCTTTGCATTGGCCATTGGTGAGCTTTGTAGTGTAATGTGGTGAGCTTGGCATCATCTCACCGTATGGTGTACTGGAGTCAATCCCTATATATATATATATATATATATATATATATATATATATATATATATATATATATATATATATATATATATATAGACACACACACACATAGTTTGTCTTTTACTTTCATCACTCTGCCATATTCTATACTTCAATCTAGAACATGTCTTCAATAAGAATTTAAAGCTTCATATTTCTAAGCAATCATCACTTATCAGACAAAGTGTTTGCCCAAATGTGTTTTCGAAAGGGAAAACATAAAGGCAAGGTCAGTACACATAAGTGACTCTTGCCTTTTACTTTCATCACTCTGCCATATTTTATACTTCAATCTAGAACATATGTCTTCAATAACAATTTAAAGCTTCATATTTCTAAGCAATCATCAACTTATCAAACAAAGTGTTTACCCAAATGTGTTTTCGAAAGGGAAAACATAAAGGCAAGGTCAGTACACACACATACAA